ATCCCCCAGGAGAAAACCCAAGAGCGGTCGCCGGAAGCACAACGCCCGGCGTGCCCGAGGCAGACGCGCCACGAGCGACATGGACGAGTCCTGTCTGGCTTCGGTAGCGAGCGTCGAAGAGGCAGGAGGGGCCAGGATGACAAGAGCGTCCACGGCGGCGGAGTCCTCGACCGGCACGCCGTGGCCTTCATCGCCGCCGGCGACGGCGGCAGCGGTCATGTCGAGAGCAAGGTCACTCCAGGACCACCTGGGAGGCGGTAGCGGTAGCGGTAGCGGCGACGAGGAGCCGACAGCGGTGGCGTGGGCGATCGGGGCGGAGGAGATCAGCGGCAGCAGCGGCGGCGAAGGCGGCGAAGGCGGCGGCGGGGTGACGACGGGGGCCGGCGGCGCGCCGTCGTTGACGCAGGACAACGGGCCGCCTCTGGTCTCGGCTTTCCGGGGGAACGAAGGCGGCGGCGGGGCCCTGGCAGTAGCCCCTTCCCGTCCTGTCCCCGGCGTCGATGCAGGCGGTGCGGGGCAGACTGGGTACCATCACCCCCCGTCTACCGGCGGCGGTGAGCGGCAGGACGCACCGGGCGTTGCCCGGGCGCCCCTGGCGAAGCCATCCCCACCTGCTTCGTCGGGTGGTGGTGTTTTCGTTGCCGCTGGTGTGGGTACCGGGGCCAGTTTGTCCGCGGACCCCTCTGCTGCGGGAGAGAGAGGCGCCGCGGACGCGGCGGCCGGACAGCCACAAGCGCCGTCGGCTTCGCCGTGGATAGGCCGCGGCGGCAGCGATGACGGTGGCAACGACGATGATGGCGGCGGCGGCGGCGGCGGCGGCGGCGATTCTCCGTCACCTCCGCCCGCTGCTGCCGCCGTCCACCCCCCGCAAGGGGTAGCGAGCGGTGGCGGCGGCCACGACGACGAGACGGCGATGAGAATCTGCGTGACCGACGTCCTACTCGAGACGGAGGAGAGCGAGTCTTCTTGTCTCCCCCAGCCGCCGGGGGAAGGGGGGGAACTGCGCCACCCCTCCTTGTTGCAGGCGCTAGCGCCAGGACCGGCTGCGCTGCATGGCGTCGCGTTGCCAGCAGCAGCAGAAGGCGGCGGTATTTCTCGAGCTCACGAGGACGAGCCTCGCGGCACGGACGAGGGCCGTGGGCCGCCGTCCGGCCCCGGCGTGACGGCGGCAGCGGTCACGACGACGAAGAGGGAGCCCGAAGCGGTGCGGGTGAGCGAGGGCGACCACCTCGCACTCGCGCACCTTCTCCTGAGAGCGCGCGAGGACAGCAGCTGCCTGCCGAGCCACCGCGAAGACCAGGACAAGGGTGATGACCCACTGCCGCCAGCAACCGCCGTGGGGGCTCCTGCTGCCGGATCAGCCGTGGGAGCGGTAGAAGCGAGACAGGCGGGCGCGCCGCCGCCGTCCCAGGAGCCAGGACTGGCGGCTTCGGCAGCGGCCGCCTCCCTCCCACCCCAGGGGTGCATCTTCCCGGGGGACGTGGAGTCTGAGATGAACCAGGAGGTGGTGGCGATAGAGACGCTCTCGGCTGACGCAGAGGCCTGGCTCACGGGTGAGCCCGCTAGCGGCGGCAAGGAGATGGCGGCGCAGCGCGTCATCGTGGCCTCTGCGTCTGGCTCGTCGCTCGACGACAAGCCCAGAAGCAGGTTGGTTGGCCGTGTGGTGTGATCACTGCTGTGTTGGGTATGGTCGCTAGGCGAAGAGCCAAGCAGACTGGTTTGTTTTGTGTGCTGCAATGTATGGTGCTGCTGTGGTACTAGACGTCCTCACCTTTTTGCGAGATTCATGAAGGTCTCGTCGGGGAACAGGCCCGAGTTTCGTTTCGACAAGCATATTACACGGCAAGGTCCCGTCCTGTCCCCCCCCCGCGCGCGCCACGTCCTCTCGAGGACGCGTGATCAAAAATTCTGCTTGCAACACATGAGCACGCCTCCCCATAAAAGGTAGCGCGTTCCCCCGCCCGCCGGCGACGACCCTCCGCCGGCCGCTGTTTCTCCCTCCGCGCCCGCGCAGACACGGCTCGAACGTCGACTTGAAAGGTTTCCACACGCCGCACGGGGGCTCGGCGACGGACCTGACGGAGCTGTCTCCCGCCACCGAGCGAGGGGCTGGCGAGGTGGGCATGGGCAGCCTTCTCGCCGCCGTCGCTGCCGGTGCAGACACTACGATGGCGAGAGGCGGCCCCGATGACGATGACGGCGGCGGCGCCAGCAGAGAAGGGTGGGGGCAGCCTCGGAGCCCCCCGCGGGAGGGGGGCGTGACGCCCCCCGGCGGTTGGAGCGTGGGACCCCGGAGCCAGAGCGGGGCGGCGGCGGGAACGCGGGGGGGTTCCACGACGCCGTCGGGTGGTCGGCGTGCCGCCGCCGCCGCCGCCGCGGCCGAGGGAGGCGTGTTTTTGGGTGAACCTGGCCAATCAACGACGGGCGGGAAGGCGGGGTTGCCGGCGGCGGGGCCTCCCAGGAGGACCGCCCCTTCGTCTCCGCCCGTTATGTCCCTCTCGGGGCACCTTATCGGGCCCGAGGTCAGGCGCGGGCAGGGGAGCGGGGAGGTCAACAAGTGGGCGCGAGATGCGTTCATGAAGGAGGCGGTGACGTGGGAAGACTTCTCGCGGTACCCGCAGGTGCGGTTTAGGCGGGTACGGCGGGGTGTGTGCCGTTTTTTTTTGGGGGGGGGGGTTCGGGTTGGCGTCCAGTGGTGGTGCCTACCGTCCTACTCGTGTGCGCGTGAAATGGCGGACCGAAGGAGATGGCGACGTGGGTCGCCGGAGGTTGCGCTTGAGTTTTTTCCCCGCCCATGTCTTTTTTTTTATATATATTGTTCGTTCTAGAAAGATAACCCCCTCTTTGGGTAGTTGGCTTGTGACCACGGAAAGGCGCCCGCGTCAGTTGGACCGGTACGGATATCAGAAGGCACTGAGCGGAGACTGGAGCGTCCTCTTGATGTAAATACAGCGAAAACAAGAACAACAACATGTCGTCGTCTGCTAAACCGTCTGTTTTTTGTTGTTGCCGTACTCGTGCTGCTGCTGTTTGCTTGCCTACTCCACGGCTCTGAATACACCCGCGTGACGTCCTTTTAAAAGGAAATCGTCCAAGACCCGAGGTTGCTGGTGGCGGTGGAAGGCTGTCTCCTAAGCTTGTCGGAGGCCCTTCCCCACTTGATCGCGGCCTCCGTCTTTGGGAACTCCCTGCCCCAGGTATGGTATGTGTCCAGAACACGCGGTTGCGTTTGGCCGGTGTGAGAGAAGTGTGTCGGCAGCCGTTGCCTGTTTTGGCTGGGCTTGCAAGAGGCGGCGAGAGGGCTCACGGGTGTGCCTACGTGTGTAGCGCCTTGTTTACTTTTTTGTTTTTTAAAGGTTTGTCAAGAAAACCTTGCTGCAAGGCGTCAATAACTGACCACAATTAAGTGGCACGCACACGCACACGCACACGCACATGGCCAGACAGACACGAGCCCCCTCTATTTCGCCTACGATAGGAATCTCGAAAGGCGAGATGCTCCGGTCAACACCCTTAACACAAACAAGTGCCTTTTGTGGGATACCTCCGTTGTATTCGGTTGGTTAACTTAGTTTGCTCTCCAAACTTTGATCGCGGAACGTTCCACGAGTTCCGCCGAAGAGGACCCTACAAACCTCAGTGCGCCGCACGGGTAGACTTGTACTGATCCCGTGTCTCTCCCCGCCCCAGCCGTCCGTTGCGAGAGGAGAGGCTCCACGGGGCGGGTCTCACGCGGAAGCATCGCCGGCCGGCGGCCGCGCCGGCGGCGGGGACTGCGACGGCGGCGGGGGCGGTACCGACGGCGACAGGGAGGAGGCCGGCAGCTTCTGCGCCCAGGACGGCAGCACCGGCGGCGGAAGCTCGTCCGTTCTCGCCCAAGACCTCGTCGGTGGCACGGCGAGCAGGGGCACCGAAGCCGCAGCAGCAGCAGCAGCAGCGGGAGCGGGGGGGGCGTACGGCGGCGGCGGTGCCGCCTCCGATGTGGGTGGGGTCGCACCGGCCTCCGACGGAACCATGGCCGGCTCCGAAGAGGCGGAGGGAGCGGCGGGGGGGTACTGGGGGCTGTCCGGTTGGTTCAGCCGCCGCTCCGGGATGTCCCCGCCTCTCCCCATGGGGGAAGAGCCGGGTGCTGGGTTGGCGAGCGACCAGAGGCTGTCGATGGCGGGTTCCGATGGGCGAGCCTCTTGGTCGAGGAAGGGCGGCGGGGCGACGGTGGTGGCGGCGGCGGGGGGAGGGAAGGCCGCCGGGTCCGGTCGCCGCGTTCGCAGGGGCTCGTGGAGGGGGTCTCCGTCGCCGCTGTCGATCGAGGTCGTGGGGGCCGGGGAGCTGAAGCGGAGCCGCGGAGCCGGCGACGTGTCGGAGAGCGACGAGGACGAGGACCTTTACGGGAAGACGCTGCGGCCGACATCGGAGCAGCTGGTGAGTGGAACAAAAAAAAAAAAGAAGTAACGGCTCTCTCGTTTGACGAACAGCAGTATGTGTGAATTAATGTTTCCTTTGAAGCTAGGCTTTTTCTCGATGGCAGGAGTTGACAGAGAGGCCGAAAGGTGTCGATTAGGCTGGATGTGTACAAGATTGAGCGGGGTTGACACCCCGCTGGTTTCTCGAAAGTTCTTGAATGTGAACGTGCGCAAGTCTGGGTGATTCTGTCGCTCTCTTCGAGCGAGCACAAGCCTCCGTGCGTCCCGACTGCCGTTGCTGTATCCCCCCCCCCCCCGCCCCGCCCGCTTTCCCATACAAAGTTCTGATACCGCTTCACCCCCTCTCTTTCGCAGTTGTTCACCATCGCGCTCGCGAATAGAGCAACGGAAGCACCCAATAGTCTCCCCCCCAAAAAAAACACAATACAAAATCAACCCGGTCATATTGTGTCAAGACACACTCGTCGCTGTCACTATCTCCCAGAAATACTAGGTCGATGTTCTTCCCCTTCCAATACACCGCCACACCCCGCGTAATCCCGTATTTGACCTAGGCGGCTTTGAGGCTCAGGCCGGGGTGCAACACGATAGAGTTTGTCGTAAACGTGGCGGGTCAGGCGGAGCGCGTGGTGTCCGCGCGGGCCTTCCTTTGGGGCAGCGGGGCTAGGGTTGTCGTCTCGGACATCGAGAACACCATCGCCAGAAGGTAAGGAGTATGGGAGTTGCTTTTGTTGTTGTTGTTGTTGTTGTTGTTGTTGTTGTTGTTGTTGTCTTTACATTAAAAGTCGTTCCGTTCTCACTACCCAGTACCTCCTTCTGTTCGAGATTGAGAAACACCAAAACAAGTAATAGAGCTAAAATCAACGCTGTTTTTTTTTAGCCAATGTCGCAACACGTCGCTATCCTGCAACGAATGCTGATGAACAACGTACGCACAGCAGCAGATCACAAGGAAACATGAGCTACGATGAACCAAGATATTGACGGCTCGCGGATGGCCGACGTCGACTGCCAACTCTGCCCCGCAGGCAATGACGGGCGGGAGATAGACTCTGACCACAGCCCCCCCCCCTCTCTTGCCCCCCCTCTGTCTCTGTCTCTGCCTCTCTCTTCTCGCATGTTATGATGTTGACATCTCGCCTCCACCCTTGTTACCGATCTTTTGTTTATTCTCAGCGGCGGCGGCGGCTCCGGTAGGGGATCCTTTTCTCAAGTCATCGGCCCCGGCGTCCATAAAGGTGAGCCCCGCGCGAGGCACGGTTGGAGGCCATGGTAACGGGGACACGTGCATGCTTTTGTACGCCTACAGAGGGGAAGAGGGGAAGGTTAGGGTGATGGGGGGAGTTGTGCATGCGTGTGTAGCCTACTTGGGGAGGAGGGAAGTTTTGACGTGGCAAGGGGACATGTGTACAGAAAAAGGAAGCGAGGAGCGCGTGTTCGCTAATGGTACAGAGGAATGTTCGCCTGCTTTTGAAATCGCGTTACCATAAACAGAGTTTATCATTCCTTTTCGGTTTCGAGTGGCCACGGAGGCTGCTGTTGTATCCGTGTTGATGCTTTGATTCCGCAAATTTTAACCTCTTCTAAACCATCCCCACCACCGATCGACGCATGCAATACATAGACGTGTCGACGCTCTTCTCCAAGATCTCCGGGAACGGCTACAAAATCCTCTACCTCACCAACCGACCGCTGCCAGACTGGCACGCCAAGAGGGGGGCGGCGGCGGCGGCCGAGGGAGGCGTCGCCCTCCCCAGGGGACCGGTACTGTGCCCCCCCGAGGTGCTGTTCCGCGGCACGTCGTCGAAGGATAGGCGCAGCCACCACGAGGTGGGAAGGGGAGGGGGGAGGGTACACTCATGTAAACGCATGCTGTCCAGTCGTTAGATCATATACCTCGCGTTCCTACAACGTCGGGGGGGGTGAACTCATTGGTCGTGCATGCCGTAGTGGTTAGGCCATTGACCTCGCTTCCCTACAAAGCCGGGACGGAGCACACCGGGTTCTCACCGGACCAGGCTAGCGCACCACCAAGCGCGAAGCACCGGAGGTGTTATGCGAGTCGCATGGAGGGTGCGCTACATCCTGCTATGGGTGTTCGGCGTCTTGTGCTTGCTTTCGTGCTTACGGATGACAGCTGCGAATGGCTTCGTGGGGAGGGGGGGGGGGCGGGGGGTACTCATGTAAAAGCCTATGCGGTAGTCGTTAGACCATAGAGCTCGCATCCCTACAATACGGGGACGAGGGACGGCGTGCACATATTTGTCATGCCTCAGATGTTAGACCATTGACCCGCGCGTCCTCGAGAGCACGACGGAGCATTGTTCGCGCAGGACCGATCACCGACGGCCAATCTACTTTGCCAAAGGTGACTCAAGAAGAATGTTTTCCCCTTCGTATTCTAATCCTATCGACCTCTTTGCCTGCCCCGTTTCTTCTGTTCAGGTGTTCAAGATGACGGCGCTGCGGGGCCTCAAGCTCATATTCCCGGCAGACGTTAACCCCCTCTATGGGGGCTTCGGCAACTCCGTCAGCGACATGGTCGCCTACAAGAAGGTGAGTCGTGCTGAAAAGTCAAGAAGTGAACACAAACACAGGTCGGAAGCAACCAGTCACCCGGACGCGGCGTGCAGTCAGGGTACTTTCGTCGGGTTAGCATGTAATAAGGGAGGTCGTGCCAGGGTTTAGAATATAGTCAGAAGACTTGGGCAGGGTTTGAAGGTGTTCCAAGGATAACCAGCCAAAACCTCCGGCAGTGTTGTGTCGTATTTTTCTTTGCACCCCGCGGGTGAAGCACCCCCTTTCCCAAACTAAACCAAGTTGTCGACCCCCCCCCCCCCCGGGCCCCCCCCCCGCCCGGAACAGAAGGGGGGGCCCCAAGGGGGGCCCCTTCCGGAAAAACCCCCGGGGGGGGGGGGCAACAAAAAACCCCCCGACCGGGCGAAGGACCCGTCCCCCAGCCGGGGAGGCGACCCCCCCCTTTCCCCCCCCCCCCGAGAAAGGGGGGGAGAATTTTTCTTAGGGCCCAA